AGAGGGACAGCGCAGGAGGGGAAGACCCTCTATGAGGTGGATTGATTCAGTGACTGGGGTAATCGGGATGGGTGTGTCAGAGGCAATGCAATTGGCACAGGATAGAGCAGGGTTTAGGGCTGTTTTACATAGGGTCGCTATGAGTTGCAAACGACTCGACAGCACATAACAACAACAACAACACTTATTAGAGATTGAATCCACATTGGAAGTTCCCCAAAATAAGGAGAAATAGCTGCAAACATCTGTTAATAATTAAAACACGGAGTGCACAATATATGAATCTTGGGAAACTGAGGTTTGTATAAAATGAAAGAGAGCACATGAATATCTGCATTCTGGTTAGGCATTAGTGAGCTTAGATGGACTAGTATTGGCCAATTTGAATCATAAAATCTTATGCTTTACTAGGTTAGGAATGAGTAATTGAGGAAGAATAGTGCTGCATTTACAGTTCAAAGGGTTATTTCAAGATCTATCCTAAAGTACATATAGGAAATTATTCATATGTGTACAAGGAAGCCCTGTTAATACAACGATTATTCAGATATATACATCAACTGCTAATGCCAAAGGTGAAGGAAATTGAGAAAGTCTATTCACTCTTCTGTCCAAAATTGACCAAACATACAATCAAGAAGAAGTCATAATAATTCATTATTACTGACCAGAAATTCTTCTAAGTGGTATAGCACTGGTCTGTCTATTTGCTGTACAGAGGTAACTCGTAGTTGCCGTGATGCTAAACATTGTGACACTGATGTGTTAAATGTGATAATAGTTACCCATGGTGGACAGTGTTTGGTGGAGCTCCCTGATTAAAACAAGCTTGGAAGCAGGAGTGGCATACCCTTGCCTCCAGAGACTACACACTTGGAGAAATTATGAAAGTTATACAAGTGTTCAAGTCTCTCTTTCACAGGGTTATTATGAATTGTCTATGACTCGTTGGCATTTAACAACAACAGCAACAACATTGACCAGAATGGAAAATTATAAAGTATGTGCTTGGTGAGAGAATGAGGCTGGAAATTGCAAGACTGAATGTTATACAGTCAAGGATTTATTAATGGCACATTCCTTTTTAAAGAAACATAAATGGCAATGATACACATGGACCTAACTTGATTAACTGCACAGAATCATATTGACTACATTTGTGAAAAGATTCCTTGAAGAAGCTCAATATAATCAGACCAGGTACTGGCTGTGTAACAGATCATCAATTGTTGATTTGTCATGAACCATAAAGATGCCTGCAATTCGAAGAGACCATATTTACAATAGCTCTGAACGCTATCCTGAGACAATTTCAGTGTCTCTGACATACCTTCACCCATTTCCCCAGTTACTGAGTCAATCCCTCTCATTCAAGGTCTCCCTATCTTGCACCACCCTTCCAAGCATGATGGACTCTCCGAGGACTGTTCTCTTCTGGCCACGTGTCCAAAGTATGTGAGACAGAGCTTAGAAATCCTTGTCTCCAAGGAGCAGCTCAGTATCACCTTCTTTAAAACATATCTGATTGTTCTTTCAGCAGTCCATGATAAGTTCAATACTCTTATCCAGCACAACAACACAAAGGCATAGATCCTTCTTCCATTATTCTTAGTCATTGTCCAGCTCTCTGCTGATGTATAGCAGGTAATTGTGAAGACCATAGCTTGTATCAGGACTACCTTAGTCTCTAGACTGACATTATTGCTCTTCAGTACTCTGGAGAGGTTCCTGACAGCCGATATTCCCAATGCAGTTTGTCTTTTGATTTTCTGCCTGCTGGTGCTAACTGTGTGAATCATAGAACAAAGCAAGCTGAAATTAACAACCTCAATCTCTTCTCCATCTATCATGATACTACCAATTGGCCCAGTGGAGAGAATCTTTGTTTTCTTGACATTGAGCTTCATTATATATTGAATATTTCAGTCTTTTGACTTTGGCCTCTGATTCCTCATGTCCCCCTCAGTTTCAGCAGCAAGTTTGTGTCATCTGCATAATGCAGTTTGTTGATGAGTCTTCCTTCAATCTTAATGCCATGTTCCTTCTCCTAGAGTTCAGCCTCCCAGATGATTTGTTCTGCATATAGATTGAAAAAGTATGGAGATAGAATGCACCCCTTGCGTATACATTTCCTGATTTTGAACCATGCATTGTTTCATTGCTTTGTTCTGATGACTGCCTCCTGGTGCAAGTATAGGTTTCACATGAGCACAATTAATGTTCTCGAATTCCCATTCTTCTCAATGCTAGCCACAGTTTGTTTTGATCCACACAGTCAAATGCCTTTGCATAGTCAATGAAACGTAGAGACATTCTTTTGGTACTCTCTACTTTAAGCTAAGAATCATCTACCATTGGCTATAATATCCCTAGTTCCACAGCCTCTTCTAAATACAGCTTGTACATCTGGAAGTTCTCTGTTGATGTGCTATTCCAGTCATTTTTGGATAATCTTCAGTAAAATCTTTCTTGCGTGTGATATTAATGATACTGTTAGATAATTTCCACACTCTGTTGGATCACTTTTTGGGGGGGGAATGAGAATAAATATGGATCTTGTCATCCTTATTCATTGTCAAGTGATCAGGATACAATGGTAATGAAGGAAGATGATCACGTTGCACTGAAGATATCAGCAAAAAACTAAGGGCCTAGGAATTGATACCATACCAATTGAAGTGTTTCAACAAAAGTATGAAGCCATGGATGTGCTGACTAGTATATTCCAAAAAAATTTGAAAGACAGCTACCTAGCCATCCAATTGCAAGAGAGCTATCTTTGTTCTCATTCATGAGAAAGAAGATACAACACAATATGAACAATATCATTGATACTACATGTAAATAAAATTCTGCTGAAAATTAATTTTTTAAATGGCTAGAATTGTTCATCAACAGAGAACTGTCAGATGTGGATTTCGGTTGATAGCAGAGAATATCAGGAGAAGTCTATTTGTATTTTATTGACTGTGCACAGGAATTTGACTGTTTGGATCATAACAAACATTGAAAAGAATAAGAATGCTGAAACATTTAATTATACTCACACAAAAACTATACCTAGATCAAGAAGCTGTTCAAACAGAGCAACGGAACACTGCATGGTTTAAAATAATGTTAAATATCAGAAAAGTTGCCTGTCAAAGTTGTATCCTTTCTGCATAACCATCCAATCTGTAGGCTGAGCAAAACAGTATCCTATGAAGGAGAATGTGACATCAGAATTGGAGGAAGAGTCCCCAGCAACTTGTATTATGTAGATGGCATAACTTCAATTGCTGAAAGTGAAGAGAATTAAAAATACTTGTTGCAGAAGGTAAAAGACTACTATGGATTAAAATATGGACATTTTATCATCAAGAAGATAAAAATCCTCACCACCAGGCAATATCACTATAGACGGAGGGGAAAAAAAGAAATTGTCAATGATTTCACCTTACAGTCAACACTCTTGGTGCCAGAAGTCAGGCGATCAGGAGACATATTGTATTGGGAAAGTTGGTTCTCAGAGACCTTTCAAATTATTGAGGAACAATGATGCCAGTTTAAAGATTAAGGTGATCCTGAGTCATGCCATGGTCTTTTCAATCACTTGCTGTGCATCTGAAAGCTGGACAATGCATAAGGAAGACAAAAGAAGAGTTGAAGCCTTTGGACTATAGTATTGGAACAGAGTGGTAACTATCCCATAGACTGCCAAAAGATCTAACAGATATGTCTTGGGGAAGGGGCAGCCAAGGTTCTCCTTGGAGGCAAAGATGATAAAACTTCATTTCACATAATTTGGGCATGTTCACTGGAGAGGGATAGCATGCTTGAGAAGGTGGAGAGATGATGAAAGAAAAGAAGACTCTCAAGCAGGTGAATTGACAAAATGACTGCAGTACTGGCCTTAGAGGTGTCAGAGATTGTGAGAGTGCCACAGAATAGAGCAAGGCTGAGATCTGTTGTTCTTAGGGTCATGATGAGTTGTACTTGACTTGATGGCACATAACCACAACCATATAATGGTCTATATAAGTACTACCAGTGAGTTGAGTATTTTCTATGAATCAGGCTAAGACCATTCTCCATTGGGTTCATTTTAGAGGAAAAGTAACCTACCTCTTTGGGAGTTTTATATCCATCTCGTAGAAAGCGGCAGCAGCCATAACGACCCTGGGAAACAGGAAAAAAAAGACAAGAAACATATATAATGTGCAGCTATATATTACTTAGATTTGTTTTGGTATTTAGATGTACAAATTTATCACCAGTACAAATATATTACTTTTAAAAAATCTCCAAACTAAAATCTGCCCATCAACAAAAACTGATTTCAGTAATATAATATCAGGTGAAGCCTAAATTATAAAATTGACATATTTCAGTTAACAGATGCTGCCATGGATGTGCTCACCAAGTTGTGCCAAGAA